GTTGTTGTTGAGACGGAGCCTCACTCTGTTGTCCAGGCTAGAGTGCAATGGGGTGATCTTGGCTCACTGCAACCTCTGCCTGCGGGTTCAAACGCTTCTTCCTCCCTCAGCCTCCTGAGTAGCTGGGACTACAGGTGCCTGCTTGTAGTTTTAGTAGAGACGGGGTTTCGCCATGTTGGCCAGGCTGGTCTCGAACTCCTGACCTCAGGTGATCTGCCTGCCTTGGCCTCCCAAAGTGCTGGGATTACAGGCGTGTGCCGCTGCGCCCGGGTGATTCTTCTAGCTTCTTAACAACTCTTCCTATCCTTTTATTAACTTATTGAAAAGAAGTCAGATACTGAAAAAAACAGCTTACTATTATCTTACAAAAACCATGGTAGCATCCTAGAAGACCCCACTCAGGTTAGGAACTGTTCTGAAAAAAGAAAAACGGGGAAAAAGAAGAAAAAAGGGAAATGGTTCTGTTTGCTTGGTATGTATAGTTTGTGTTTCAACAAAATTGCCCACCCTGTCTTCCCCTTCCCCTGTTCTTCCCCTTATCTCCTCTTTAACCTCCCCCATACCCTTACAATAAATTCAAAGCAACCATTTTCCTAGGCTGACTGCAGACCCTCTACATTAGTGGTTCTCAACTAGGGACAGTTTTGACCTCCAAGGGACGTGGGCAAAGTCTGGAGACATTTTGGTTGTTCTGATGTTATGTGTATGAGGGTACTGGAGTGTTACCGAGGTCCAGCCAGGGGTGCTTCTGCCTGCCCTGCAATGCGCAGGACGTCTCCTACAACAAAGACTTTTCTGCCCCGTCGTGTCACCAGTGCCAAGGTTGACAGCCCATGCTCTGGATGCTGCTCATGCCCCCTTCTGTTGGGTTTTTAGTAGTCATCTTATTTTTCAGATGTTCTTTCTTTCCAGCTTTGTGCATTAAGCTGAACTTAGTTTGTATTACAGATAATGTTCTCGGGGGTCACTAAGTCAACACACACTCTCCTGGATTCAGCAGTCTTATGAGGGACACTGGGAAGAGAGAGAGTGCTGGGAGACCCAGGTTTGAGTCTTTCCTCTGCACTCCAAGGTCAGATAAATTTTTTTTTTTGAGGTGGAGTCTTGCTGTGTCGCCAGGCTGCAGTGCAGTGGTGCCATCTTGGCTCATTGCATCCTCCGCTTTCGAACAGCCTTGGCACTGGTGACACTGGGGGCCAGAAAAGTTTCGTTGTGGGAGACGTCCTGCGCATTGCAGGGCAGGTAGAGGCATCCCTGGCTGGATTCCAGTAACACTCTAACACTCTCACACACATAAAATTAGGACAAGCAGTTCTCCTGCCTCAGCCTCCTGGAGTAGCTGGGACTACAGGTGCATGTCACCACGTCCAGCTAATTTTTGTATTTTTAGTAGAGACAGGGTTTCACCATGTTGGTCAGGATGGTCTCAATCTCCTGACCTCATGATCCGCCCGCCTCAGCCTCCCAAAGTGCTGGGTTTACAGGTGTGAGCCACCGTGCCTGGCTGGTCAGATAAATCTCATTAACTAAGTAAGCATGTTTTCCCAACATCAAGTAAGACTAGTAAGGGTTGAGTATCCCTTATCCATGCTTGGGACCAGAAGTGTTTTTTATTTTTTAATTTTTTTATTTTTATTTTTTAGAGACAGGGTCTTACCAAGTTGATCAGGCTGGTCTCGAACTCCTGACCTTGTGATCCACGCGCCTCGGCCTCCCAAAGTGCTGGAATTACAGGCGTAAGCCACCACGCCCAGCCGTGTTTTTGATTTTTTGATTTTTTTTTTGATTTTGGAATATTTGCATATGCATAGTGAGATATCTTGGGGATGGGACCCAAGCCTAAACATACATTTTTTTTAATCTTGGCTCACTGCAACCTCCGCCTCTCTGGTTGAAGCGATTCTTCTGCCTCAGCCTCCTGAGTAGCTGGGATTAAAGGCATGTGCCACCATGCCCAGCTAATTTTTGTATTTTTAGTAGAGTCGGGGTTTTACCATGTTGCCCAGGCTGGTCTTGAACTCCTGACCTCAGGTGATCCACTGGCCTTGGCCTCCCAAAGTGTTAGGATTACAGGCGTGAGCCACCATGCCCAGTCTAAACATAAAATTCATTTATATTTCATACATACTACATTAGTTCATTCTCACACTGCTAATAAAGACATACCCGAGACTGAGTAATGTATAAAGGAAAGCATTTTAATTGACTCGAAGTTCAGCAGTTCAGCATGGCTGGGGAGGCCTCAGGCAACTTAGAATCAAGGTGGGGAGGTGAAGCAAGCACATCCTTCTTCTTGTGAATAATTTTATCGGCTGGGAGCAGCACTTTGGGAGGCTGAGGCGGGTGGATCACCTGAGGTCAGGTGTTCA